GAGCTCCCATCATATCCACGTGGACGTGCATGTGTAGAAGCAGGGGGAACTTGGAGGAGGATCTGTTGACTGGTAAATCTACCTACTATCCCTAGTCACCCCTATCATAAGCCCCATAACGCAAGCTACGAAGTAGACTTACTAAGTCAAGAAATCCTCCAAGAAGCAACGTGAAGCCTCAGGCTCCGGGGTTTCTCGTCTTCTCCACCTGAATGTAGCTTGAGCGGGGTTGCAAAGGTTGAAAGGGCGCTCTAAAGGGAAGCAGGATAGTAAGTAATTTGCAGATCTTCGTTTAACCCGAGGATTTCCGTGGCGCATAGACTCACGTAGCCCCCGAACGCAGAGCAGGACCTCAAGCAGTTGCTCAAACTCACAGGGCCCTAGGGTTTGGGATTTAAGGTTATCATAGGACTTACAGGGTTCAGTTTAGGGCCAAAATTTAGTGTGTGTCGAAGCCTGCAATTCCCCACCTAGCCTTCTGCGTCTGAGCCTGGTAGCCCGGTAGGTCATTGTTTTTAGGACTCCCCCAAGACAGCCTCCGGGAACAAGACAGCCAGATCCAGACCCTCAACCAAAGTTACCCCACCATAACGCAAGCAAGAAACGCCTGCACGAGGCTATGGTGCGTGCCCTGAACCACGCATTGTTCGTCATGACCGATCAGCGCTTGGCTGACTTCCTCGTTCCTGAAGAACATCGCCTCAAGGCGCAAGGTACTGCCAGTGTCACGGGCGTGCAGCTGCTGCCTGTGCGGGAGCGACGGATTTTAGTGTCTGCACCCTGTCGCTGCTTCAGAAATGTAAGGCACACATGTGATTTCCCACTGAAGCCATGCTTGCCTAGTAATTACTTGCAAGGTCTCCGATGAGGAGGCAGCGCAGATCCGATCCATGAACTTGCTATGCGCTATGGGGCTCCGAGGGTTCGCGCTCCAAGAATGTTGTCATCCACAATGGAATGACTTCAAGCGTGCTATCAGCAGCTCCCACATGAAGCTTTCCTTGCTGAAAATTACCCTGCTAGTAAACGCAGGGCGAGGACCGTATTACAGCGGTCGCAACCAGTTTACAGTTGAGAGTGCTACGTACCATTTGCTAGACAACTGCAGCGAAGACTACCTGCAATCTCTAGCAGAAGCTGTGTGGCGTGATCAAGGCTGTCCGGGGCAAGGGCCCGGACGAGTTCTAAAGGATGACTGGTTGAATGCTCGGGGCATCCGCACTCGACTGAAGGAGGCCGGGCGCATCTTTGTCCTTGCAAGATTGCCTGTTTTTGGGGGAGCTTGTTTACCTTGAAGCTTGACAAATCTTGGAGGCCAAAAACAAGAGCTGGCTTGGCATCATGGAATGCTGCCGCACATTAGACAGGGCCTGGACCTTTCTTGCTGAAAGCGCTGCTCACGCGCAAAAGTTGCTGGAGAAAGCCGATGCCACGGAGGGGGGCGATCTCCTGCGCTCGGCTGTGGGAAGCTTAGTGTGGGAGAAGGGCAGAGAGAGAGAGAGAGAGAGAGAGAGAGAGCAAGCAAACCCGGCTTGCGCGCGTGGTTGTTGATGAGGAGAAGGCAGTGCGTGGGAAGAAGAAGCGGGCCGCAGCAAAGGTCAAGTCCGGCCCAAACAAGAAACAAGCTACTGGAAGCACAAAGGAAGATGTGCCCAGTGGTTCCAAAGCTGCAGCGCCGCATCCAGCATCGGATACAACTACACCCAAAAGTTCAGCGGCGGTCCCTTCTGCAGCAGCCCCACTCCCTGAGGGCGGCAAGAAGGAGAGCGAGCTGCTGCAGGAGGAAGAGGAGAAGACCGCCCGTCAGTTGTTCGACCTTCTGAAGGCCGAGCATGACAACACAGCCGCCTTCGCAGCCGTGTTGCTGCAGGACCGCAGCCTGCAAAGAGACCTCCGTATCATTGTGGATGTGACAACCCCGCTCCACAACGAGTACCAGGATTACTTGAAGGTGCACAAGGATGGCCCGGCTGCCTTGCTGCAAGCCAGTGCGCAACGCTCCCTGGGAAAATGGTTTCGCACAGTCGCTGAGACCTTGCGTACTTTGGAAAGCAGCAGACTAATCACACGCCTGGAACTCACGCCTGTGACTGTCAGCAACTCTGTTCTGCGCTTGGACGATGGGTCTGTTGCAGAAGACGTGCGGGTGACCCGCGCGTTGTTCGACAGTTATGCGCAAACCGAGCATGGTCGCAGGCGCATCACACCATGGTTCTTCCCTTTGCCTTCGCAGCAGCAGCAGAGAGCGCGCAGGACGCGGCCCGAGCTCGCAGTCATCTGCGGCAGCTGGCAGCTGCGTGGCTAAGATTAGAAGACATGGTGCAGGCTGACACTGGGAAAGGCCCTTTGACCCATCTCTGGGAGGACCTGGGAACTGCATCGTGGCAGATAACCAGAGAGATTCTCATCCAGGGGCTGGCTTGCGATTGGAACATGGACGACCCGGAGCTCAAGGCTTTATGTCTCGCATGTTTTTCGGGGCCTCTGTCAACAAGAGACATTCTGGAATCTGCGTTTGGATGGCTTCGAGACTCGTTGAGGCAGGCCAAAAACAATATCCTGGCGAATTGGACACAGTTCCTCTACCTCATCGCTTGTCCGTACGCCCGCTCTCAGGGAGGCATGTCGCAGTACTTGCCCTTGGACACAGACTTTGGCACGCTGCTGAGATCAGGCTTCTCTGACAGGGAGATACTCGATCTCAATGTATGGGCCCCTGCCAAGACATCAATGACGGACAAACTGCCAGACAGTCCACAGGCGATTAGCAAAATCCGACTGGCTGGTTTTGCTGCTAATCGAGTGGCTTCGGCGGCATCCGCCTATGCCATGAAAGAAGTTGCCAATGACTTCCGGCAGTGTGACGCTGCATGGGCAGGAGATGACTCACAAGGGTTTTTGCTGCCAGGTTGGATGTAGGTCGCTGTTAGCAGCAGGGATATATAGAAAGACCTTCTGTTTTCTAAGACCTTTCCAAACCTGCACTTGCGTTGCTGCAAGGAAGTTGTTGTGGTCCAGGGAAACCTTTTTCCATCTGCCTGTGAAACCTTCCCGCAGCCAGCGCCAGGATGCTTGTTGACGCGAGGAGGCTTCTTCTTGCACACCACCACTGGCCAATACTACCTATCCTTTGGATTTATGAAGTGGGCTGCTCAAGTCCTGCGAGTCGAGAGAGTGCTTGTTGGGGAGGAGGACCTGTTGCGTTAGTTCCGAACATGCAGCTGTGGGATCTTGCAGTAGTTTTTGTGACCTGTCAGGAGTACTTGACGTTGCCGGAGAGCGAACTCAGCCGCTCCAGCGCACGTTGGATGGTCAATCACTCCGTTGACGCAGATGGGCCTTTCCTGCGCGTGCCTGTGGCGATTGTGCCCCCGGCGTGCAGGTCGAGGTTTGCACCCGGAGGAGCTTTGTCGTGGCGCATTGCAGGAAAGCCAAGGGACCCATTGAAAGCAGCTCTTCGTCAAGGCACCTTCCTGGATGTGTTGCAGATCAAGGCAATTTGTGCCGCGCGTGGTATCCCCTTGCCAGAGACAAGATCAGTTGGCCAGGGAAAGCCACTCAAGTTTGACCTTCTGAAAACGTTGATTCAGGCTTGCTTCCCGGATGAGGCTGAAGAAGCAATCGAGAAATTGGTGAAGAAGCAAGCCCAGAATCCAAACAGCATAATCCCTGAAGCTGAGCAGCTGGGCACAGCTGAAGCGGAGGGCGCGCAAGCAGAGCTCTTGATCAGGATGACTGCTACTTTGAGCCCGCATGAGGCTGATCATTTCAGTGACATACGGCAGCAAGCAGTTGAGCATTTGCATGCTAGAAGGGAGCGGCGGAAGACACAGTTCAAGATCACTGCTCGCCGGGAAAGTGAGCAGGCAACAAATGCACCTGCTGCAGAGGCCCCTGAACGTGCCTCCGCATCCACGGCTCCAGGTGCAGCAGCTAGTGGTCATGAGGCCGAAGCTGCGGCCTCGTCTGGTGCTCGCAGGACACAGGAGAACCCAGCGCGGAGCAAAACAAAGGCTCCCCTGGAATTCCTAGAGCTCTTGCCAGATGTTGCCAATGTTTACTTCCATTGGGAACCACAGAATCGACGGGTGTGGGTAGAAGTCCGCAGAATCATGGTTGCGTTTGGTTGCAGGTTGGGCTTGGAAGTCTTGTATTTGCTTAGGTTGCAGTCTCAGCAACTGTGTGCATCATCATCTAAGGAGGCCTGCCCTCTGGGCACCAGAAGATGAAGACCAGTACGTGGCAAGCCGGCGCCACACATGGTAAGCAGCTAAATTCACTTCGCGTCGTGGTGGACTGGATTGGCAAAAAGTTCAACGACCACCTCAAAGACAAGACTGCAGAGGCTTACGTGTTGTGGGGCCCTCATGTCAAGTGACTCATGTTCTGTCAAGTTTTCTCAAGCGAGTGAGGTCTAAACAATTTTGTCAAAGCATTCTTCCAGTTACCAGTGCTTGAGGCCGAGCGATGCCCAGCTACGGCGAGCGATTGAGGCTTGGGACGAGCGCCAGGGCCGCGCAGTGGCCTCCTGAAACAGTAGCCTCAACCCCTGTAATGAAGTTTTCACCCGTGAGCTCAGACATGCAACGCATGAAAGCTCTTGCAATGTGTTTCGAAGAGACACCTTTGTTCGAGACAAGCAAACAACTGCCGCTCGAAGAGGCAAGCTTGTTCAAGACAAGCAAAGCACAGGTACGACTCCCAGAAAAATGTTCAGCGCGGAGCTTCTCAGCAACTTGCTCAACACATGCTTGTAAGCTTTGTCATGGCACTCTGGAGGCTGAGTGCTAATGAGGGGGGGGTTGGGGGGGGGCTCTTAGGAGCCTATGACCTAAACTTTAAGCCCTAAACCCTTCTAATAACAACTGGCCAACCCTCGCACCCTAAAACTCCAATCCCTGAACTTAAATACAAGGGCCTCTCAACCCCTAAATTCTGAATATACGGGCCCACGACCTTAAGCCACAACTCCGGGACCATAATGTTTGGCTCCACTGGACCTGCGGCCGATGCAACCATGAAAGATCGATTTCACGCTGCTCAAACTTCACCTGGCTGCTGAGGGCAGCAGGGACAACAGGGATCGGTTGATGATTTCGGGATTAATGCTTCGAGATTTGGATGAATGCGTTCTGGCAACCTGCACGGATGACGACCGTCCAAAAAACAAAGGCATCCCTGATTAAAAAGCCCCTCAGAAGAGACTCAATTTTGGAGATTTGCAAGTTGCCGCCTCCAGGCCCACCAAGTACGGCCTTCCGCCAGCTTTCGTTGGAGGTACCTGAAGGGCTTGTGTAGGTCCAGGCTGCTCAGCCCTGCAGCCTCAGGAAGATCGTCTGAGAAATAAATGCCTTATGAAGGCAGTGGTCCTGATTCGGTAGAGTGGGGGATCAAAGCAAGCAGATTTGGGACGGGATTCAGAGAGCATAGTTGTTTGAACCTAGTGCGCGCTGCAGCCTTTTGAGGGAATGGTAAAGGAAAAAGAATGTTACGGTGCCCAGCCGGCATGAGGGGGGGGGGTCAGGCACTTGCTCCATGAGGCCGTTTAAGGAGTGAGTATAACAGTCTTTGCAACTGGCATTACAACAGCATCCAGTGATTACCCGCAATGGTATGAGACAGTGGTAAACATGAGCATGAGCGTGAAGCAAAAAAGGCAATAGGTGTGACGGTCCTGTCAGTTGTGAATGGTGACTGCGACCATTAGACAAAACATGATAAGGATGACAACTTTGGTCCAAAGATGGAGATTATCTAGTCGGATCTCAAATGCATGCTCTTGGTCCTGAATACATGGCGCTTCATGCCGTTCGAACCCTGTTACCTGTCCTTGATGCGCATCCCATCATTGACGTACAAATAAAATCCCTGCGAATCCTTGTATACTCCCCACAGTCCATGCCTGAATTGAGGCTGGCAGTCATCCATGGAAAAACAGCTCCTGCCTCAACCTCCTTCCGCTGATCGTGAAGTGTAGTCACACTCTTTCGTGTCCACAGCAAGTTGTTGCCTGAGTTGGGTTTCTTAGAAAAATGGCTTCAAGTGCTTTTGTTGCGTACTCTGGTAGTGTGCTACAATTCGCATTTCTTTGCAACGTACCACAACGTGAAATCCTGACTTCAAGCTCCTTTCGCTGTGTCCCCAAGAAATTACCATCTAAGTGAGCTCGTTAGACCTTACGACGGTGGTCGCTCAAGCGAAGGACCTGCACATCCTTCAAGTAAGCCACACCCTTGCTTAATAAACCCCCTCCCCTCAATAGGGATTATAATAGGGATCCTAAAAATAAGGCCCTCAAAAAGAGGGTGTTTATTAATCACTGGTCTACATTACCCAAAACCCTGAACAGTAGTTTCTATGTTCTTTTCCATTATCCCTATATAACCCCAATATTACCCCTGTATTTATCATGGGTCTACACTAGGCGGGACAGAGATTCTGCAGGCAGGTAATGGTTCTTCTCGTGAACAGCCTAGTGTAACACATGTTGCTTCTTCCACCAACCTTACGGACCCTAAACCCTATATTATAGCATACTATAGTATATTTTCGGTATAGCAGAGAATATTCTAATATATTATAGTATATTCTGTTCTCGTATTTTATAACATGCTATAGTATATATTATAGCAAATAAACCCTGAACCAGAAAGAAAGTCTTATGGCTTCATCTTGGTCAAGAGTCCGTCATGCAGCCAATCAGTGGTGGGAATATCTTTGAGCAGCTGTTTCACCGCCTTCTTCCGAATCACCTTGGCAGCAGACAATCTCTATCTTCCATCGCAGAATTTGCAGAACCATGAAAACGTGGGGGGCCCATAAGGAAAGCCTAGTCTAGTTTTCTGCTTTGGGGGCCATTTAAGCCTGATTGGATACTCCCCTTCAGCATGCACTGAATCCAAGGCCCCGACACCTGGCACCTCTCTCTCATCCTCACCCTTTTTCTTGGGCATCTTCTTTGCAGTAGGATCCTGCAAGGCGTGCATTTCCTGACTCAGCCCTGCAAAACACCCGCACAGATCTAGAACATGATTAGTGTGTTCCTTATGTAAACCCTGGCCCTATCCACTCCCCCTGTGCTCTCGTCCTGCGGCTTATCTTTCTCGACTTTGTTGAAGTCCACCCGCCAGCATCGCCAGATCTCAGTCAGACTCCGAGGAAGGAGAAAAATGCCGTTTTCTATACATGCGCTGGAAGTAGCACCTTCTGGTAGCACCATTGCACCGGCACATGAAGATAGCAGGTCACAGAAAATGTTATTGATGGTGGTGCAACAGAAGCAGCAGCAGCCACAGCAGTAGCTTTACTGGATTGCAAGAGCTCAAGACTATTGCGGCAGAACCACCCTGACAAAATCACGCGCACACACACACACAGCTTCACACTGCGAAACTGTGCATTTTCTTGTCCCGATCTGCTCTCCCTAATGCCCCTATCAATACCATGTTCATGACGAAGATGGGCCGCCCCTAACTGCCTGGGCGCGACACCGTCGCATCACCCTCGCCAGCCACCGTCAGGTGGAAATGGTTGGACACCAGGCGAAGAGGCTGGCCCCTCCTGGGTCAGAAATGATTTCCAGCGGTACAGAATGCTTTTTTGGGAGCTTTACAGAAGGAAACATCGTGTTTTGGGGTCAATGCATGTGCAGCCTGCAGGGTTCAAAGCTGGGATGGGTTACAAAGATTTTGCTGAAAGCGGAAAAGCTGAGTATGCAAAAGGGTTGCAACAATAGTGGCGGTACTCACGATGTTGACGGAACGGATACGGGCGGCAATTCAATTTTCAGCTTCATACCCATCGCACTCCTGATAACCCGAAGCCCAAAACCTTAAACCCGACACATTACACCTGTAACGCGAAACACATAACACCTACTTTCTCTTTAACCTTGAGCCTTCAACCCACTCGCAAGTGCAATTGAAGGGCTTTCCCAAAGACAGCGGCGGTATGTCAAGCTGCAACCGCTCCTCCTGAAACAACCGTCTGTTGGTGCTTAGGGAGAGCGGGGGAAGTGAAACGAGCACAGTATCATTGTAGAGGCATAGGGCGTTGAGACTTTGGGGTTTGGGGAGTGTTGTGATGGTTCACTGCCACTCCGGTCATCTGTAACCACCTTGGCAACAACAAGAAACAGGAAAGCTTCAGCAGCAACTAGGGTAACTGGAGGCATTGTGAGCACGCTCATCCTTTTCTTACTGTATGAGCGTACAGCTTGCTCAATCTCCCTAAACCCTAAACCCTAAACATATTGGGCGGCTGCTTGTTTTATCCCTAAACCCTAAGCTGGCCCTAGCATATCGCCAGATGTATTGGGGGACCACAGAGCTTCAAACTGAGAGCAGTCCGGCTCTTCAACTGCCACAGCCCTGTACTCCGCTTCCTTGGCACGCGAGAATTGTTGAATCCCCTGCCCCTACTAGTAATGAGCCCCCTTTAGGTTACTGCACATAGGGGTTTTTGAGGTAACAGAAACGAAATGGAAACCACTGTCTTCTCCAGGGTTTAGAATTTGGGCATTAATTCGCCGAGGCATCCAGCCTCAGGGCGTTCAGATCCCTTTAAAAACCCCCTCTACGACCCCCCCACCCCCGCCATGGTGGGTGGCCTAGTCCAGCCTGACCATCCCG